TGTGTGTGTGTGTGTGTGTGTGTGTGTGTGTGTGTGTGTTAATGAGGGCGAGAGTGTTCTGGATTCTGAGTGGGCAATTGTAACAGATTCAGCAAAAATGCACTGCATAGATCTGCACAGTACAGAAAAACCAACCAAACAAAAAAACACAATTACTCGATTAAACATTCCCAAACAATAGCACAAGCAACACCTGAGAGTGTCAGTAAACACAGCCATTACTTTAGAAGTGTAAAAATGGAGAGTCTCAACCTGAGACAAATCTGACAGATTTAGGGCATCGATACATTGATCCGTGTCCGCTCACTCAGGCGCCACTTTCCTTCCTCTCTGCCTGAATAAATGTACTCACTGCACACATGAATACAGCCTGCCTCCTTATTTTTAAAGAGTGAAGAGTGTTTATCCAGAGAGGGAGACGGAGAGAGATTTTCTCCATAACAACCATGAATTTAATTTACAAGATTGAAATGTTATCAGTATTAACGGGTTTCTCAAACCCTTGTAGGCTACACTCTCAGAAAGAAAAAAAGTACAAAAGCTGTCACTGGGGCGGAATCCTTTCAAAAGCTATTAATATCATTTAATATGTACACTTTAGGTTCTAATATGTAACTTTAAGCTACTAATGTGCACCCTTTAGGGGTAAACAAGCTACAAAAATATACCTTTATAAAAGGTAGGCTACCATAGAATACCATACCACAGCTTTTGTACTTTTTTTAATTAATTAATTTATTTTTAATTTTTTTTTTTAAATAGATACATTTTGTAACTTTAAGCTACTAATGTGCACCCTTTAGGGGTAAACAAGCTACAAAAATATACCTTTATAAAAGGTAGGCTACCATAGAATACCATACCACAGCTTTTGTACTTTTTTTAATTAATTAATTAATTTTTTTTTTTTTTTTTTAAATAGATACATTTTAGTTTACCAAATAAAATCAAACCATTCTGTTAATGTGGGTGAATCTCATGAAAGGCTGTAAAGAAAATGGCTCAAAATTATGTTACGACTCCTAATTAAGCACATTTCTTCCTAAATCTCATTACTGCAATGAATTGTTGCGAGTAGCTACTCTTATTCTGATATTCTAATCACTATTATGTGGATTACAAAACATACTTACAGTCGCTGATTCAGAAGTTAAATAGCCTTTGTGCACAGCCAGCCTTGTACTCTTCTAGGTTAAAAAAACTGTCGTCCATAAAATGCGTTGCACAAATTCGAACATCTGGGTTCTGTTGTAAATAAATCTTAACCAATGATTCCATGCTGCATCAATACTACTGCTGTTCCTGAAACCACGCCTTCTTTCTTTGTGAACATTTGTCAGTGTTATGCAAATCTTCCCACATCGTGACGTAGACATGTGGGGGCGTGTTAGAACGAGCCGTTTTAGGTAGGTGTGGCTGACTCTTAACTCTTTTATAAAGAATATCTCTTTGGATTTGAGACTTTAGTCTTTGCAACTTTACAGATCTTCTTTATGCACCAAGAGCTTGTAACACTCCAAAGAGAAAGGAAAACTTGAAATCGCATCATATGACCCCTTTAAATGATGCTCATTTCCTTTCTTCCCATGATATTTAATGTATTTTAAATATTAAATATTTGTGCTGTTTTCACTTTATTTTAATCAAAGGCATTTTTTCCCCAAAAATATATAATGTAATGGATTACGTTACTAATTAAATTTTTGTCGGACAACAATTTGTCCCTTAGTTGTTATTTTCAACGGCACGGTTTTTCTGATAATAAGGTGAATCTTTTTGGTAATATAGTGATAGTGACCAGTGTGAATGAGAGGGAGAGGGTATCTGTGAACACAATGATTTGTGCTTTTTCTATCGTTCGAAACTCGTGATGATGCGAGAGTCGGAGAACGCCGCTGCTGTAACCACGGCAACGCTTCCACTCAGTGACGTCACTTAGCCACACGGCGACACCTGCGCGAACACACACACACACACACACACACACACACACACAGAGACAGACAGAGAGAGAGAGAGAGAGCGGGGCTGTGGTCAGTCTGATCGTTGCTCCTCGCCATAGGTGATGTCTGGGAATAAAAGCATGAAACTGGACACAGAGATGCGCTCTCATAGCTCCGCCCCTGAATAACATCACCATCATCATCATCATCAGAGTCGGAGAGGAATAACTGGAGGGCACGAGAGAGGACGCACGCGGACTGTCAACCTGCTGCACGCGTCGCGTTCATCCGTCACCTCTGAATGTAAGTCACATTTTTCATTCATTCGATCCGTGACTTTATCAATGTGTTTATTTCCTTTTATTAAACTGTTCGAAATTATTACATTGCAAATGATGCATCATGCGTGATTGTATGAGTATAAACAGATAACGGCGCGTTAGATCAGAACTCACCTTCATATATCATCATTCCGTGATTTTATAGTCGGAGATTTGTGTCCTTTAATATTTGGTCCCAGAGCTCAGAGGTCATGAGAATGACAGGTCTGTTGCATGTCAGACAGACGGTGATTATTCAGGTATGACAGCCATACCCCCCTTTAATAGAAGCATGATAAATGACAGCATGATGAGAAGTGACATTGCCATGCATGGAGAAATGTACTGATGATGTTCACAACGTGAAATGACAAATCACTGGGAGAGAGAGAGAGAGAGAGAGAGAAAACAACGACTAGCATGAGTAAAGGGTTTAGAGACATGCAAATATTCATTTAATTAACCAGCAAGCCAACATATCAGAAATTCCCAAAATAACAAATTAAACCAACTCATATTTTCCACTATATGCATCATTGCAATTGCAGAAAACAACAATTAAATACAAAAATAACAAATACGTGAAGATAAAGACTAGTAGATAAATGACCCAACACGTCTAGTTTCTGTACTGCAGTTCCTTCTGCTACTACATTGTTGCTGGACTTCTTATCAGCCTTAAGCATAAATGCCTCAATACAATATATGGGGTAAACTACTTTAATATACTAATATACCATAGTATGCATACATGTGAATAAACAACCTTTTAAAAAAAGATCAAACTGCATTCATTCGTTCGTTCTGGTATTCTAATAGCATGATCATCAAGCAGGCCATTCTGTTGATCTAGTGAGGAAAAGACGACTTTTATAAGTGTTGTGACAGATCTTAAAGCAGACTGTGAAAGTTCCATTCTTCATTTTTTAAAGACTGTAACGAGTTTAAATGAAAAGAGGCAGTCAGATTTATCGGTAGCATCGGTGTGAATGATATTGAGCTCTTATGTGTGGTTATATAAGGTGCGTGTTGTGAAATGTGCTGCGTCGGGCGTGAGAGGGATGCAGACATGCTTCTGACATTGTGCCGTTTCACTGTGACCTTGAAAATGCAGACGCAGCCGAGAGCAAGAGCAAGTCAGCAATCGCAGATGCTCGCGCATTCACATGCACAGACCCTGCCTTCTCTCTCTCTCTGATTATTTTTCTCAGGCTAATATGAGGAAGCCTCTGGTGTGCTGAAGGACGTCTGGATTTACTGTACAAGTAGCGTTCTCAGCATGCGATAAGCCCGACTGTAGCGTAACGAGAGAGCGTTGAAGAAGAGAGAACAGCCATGGCCTCTGACATCCAGCGCCATCTGATTGTCTGCGTCCGCCAGCGCTCCTGGAAGAAACTCAGGCCTGCGCGGGTGTTTGGCCTTCTCGTTAGTCTCATAGCAATAAGTGCAGTGGCCTTCTCGTGGCGCTCTACTGCTCAGTGGGAGGGGCTACAAAGCCACGCCCCACACAGGACACTGCTCTCCACACACCTGGGTTACCACAGTAACCTCTCGGAGGACACACCCATAGCCATGCGCTCATCCGCGGAGTCAAACGAGAGTCAGGGGGACTATCCGACTGACCTGTTCAGTTTGGAGGACCGTCGGCGCGGTGCTGTTGTGTTGCACATGTTTGGCATGATCTACATGTTCATCGCTCTCGCCATCGTCTGCGACGAGTTTTTTGTCCCCGCGCTCACGGTCATCACAGAGAAACTCGAGATCTCAGATGACGTGGCAGGAGCCACCTTCATGGCGGCCGGGGGCTCGGCTCCTGAGCTCTTCACCTCCGTCATCGGCGTATTCATTTCCCACAGTAACGTGGGCATCGGAACCATCGTCGGCTCTGCTGTGTTCAACATCTTGTTCGTCATCGGAATGTGTGCCGTCTTCTCCAAAGAGATCCTGAACCTGACGTGGTGGCCTCTGTTTAGGGACGTCTTCTTCTACATCGTCGGCCTCGTCATGCTCATCGTTTTCTTCTTGGATAACTACATCACGCACTGGGAGAGTATCAGTCTGCTGCTGACCTACGCCACATATGTGCTCTTCATGAAGTTCAATGGGAATGTAGAGACTTTTGTCAAGGGCATCATGAACAGAAACCAGGTGGTGGAAGTGGAGGCCCAACCAAAGGTGAGTTCCTTCCTCTTACTATCCAACCGTAGTAGAGTCAGCGGACCCCCATTTGAGTTTGGGACTGGTTGAGAAGTAATTTGTGACCCTGGACCACAAAACCAGTCATGAGGGTCAAATTTTTAGAAATTGAGATTTCGTAATAAGTGAATAAACGAATAAATCAGCTTTCCATTGATGCATGGTTTGTTAGGATAGGACATTATTTGGCCGAGATACAACTATTTGAAAATCTGGAATCTGAATAATAAAAATCTAAATATTGAGAAAATTGGCTTTTAAAGTTGTCCAAATGAAGTTCTTAGCAATGCATGTATTACTAATAAAAAATTAAGTTTTGATATATTTACGTTAGGAAATGTACAAAATATCTTCATGGAACATGATCTTTACTTAATATCCTGATGATTTTTGGCAAAAAAAGAAAAATCGATAATTTTGACGCATGCATGTAAATGTATTGTTGTCTATTGCTACAAATATACTTGTGGTACTTATGACTGGTTTTGTGCTCCAGGGTCACACTTGGTCTTTGGTCTGATTGTAAAGAGTATTACTGCAGTATTGGGACCAGTGTTGGGGAAAGTTACTTTTAAAACTAATGCATTACAATATTGTGTTACTCCCTATAAAAGTAACTAACTGCATTATTTTTATGGAAAGTAATGCATTATGTTATTTTTGAGTTACTTTTTAAATCTGGGCAGGGCTTGCTTGTTTGTTTATAATATAAATAAAAGTTCTTCTTTTACAAATGTAAAAGCCCTTTCACACCAAACGTGAAATGAATGCGCCTCAGGCTGAAGGAAATGTAAATTCACGTCTGTACAGTAGAGGGCACGGATCAAACAAATCGCATGAAGAATATGACACAGGAGAAGAAAATTCAACACTATTCATCAATAACAAAAATAAAACACAAATGTGTCATTTTTGCTTAGTATGCTTGAATTGGATCATCGAAGCTCAGTAGCAAAGACACTGGTTAATAAAATGGGATTAAATACATTTGGATCATCGAAGGTCAGTAGCAAAGACACTGGTTGATAAAATGGGATTAAAAATACATAAATGATATTTGTTTTACTTAACATATTCAATTATTGTAGGTTTGTATAATATTCTGAGTTTGCATTTGACTGTTTTTATTCATTTTGATGAATACTGAATCTGTTTTTGTGCAGGTGAGATACATGTTCATATTTATTCTAGAACTACAGTAACATCACGTTAACACAGCGCACATAGCGCCTCTGCACTTACTCCTGATTTCTCTCAACATGGTCAAGACATGGAAAACAAAGTAACTGGCGTTACTAATTTGAAAAATTAACTCAGATATTTCCTTCTAAATTAAAGGTGGGGTATGTGATTTTTCAAAAACGCTTTAGCGGCAGCAGTTTTCTGTCGGGGATTTGTCGTGTCGCGCCGCATCCAGTGTAGAGCATAGATATGTATATATATCTATGGTGTAGACAGCATCACTGATTATAATGAGTTCTATAGTATTTTGTCGCGCCGCGCCATTCGCATCCGGTGTAGACACGGTGTAGCATTGGTTTTGCTTTGTTTCACAGAACTAATCGTTGCCTGGGTTGCGTACGTATGTGAGGGGCGGAGCTATCAAAATAGGGGCGAGACCCTTTTGGGGTAGGGGCGTGTTTGTTTTGGTGATTTCAAATGTCAACATTGGCAACCAGAAATCGCTTACCCCACCTTTAAAAAGTAATGCGTTACTTTACTACTCAGTGGTTCAACCGTACGAAGCTATGAGAATACTTTTTGTGCACAAAGAAAACAATATTACACAATTGCTGAATAAATTATGTTATCATTGTTTTCTTTGTGCACAAAAAGTATTCTCATAGCTTCGTACGGTTGAACCACTGATGTCACATGGACTATTTTACTGATGTCCTTTCTGTGCCTTGATCGTGGTAACATCGTTGCTGTCTATGGAGGGTCAGAGAGCTCTCGGATTTCATCAAACATATCTTAATTTGTGTTCCGAAGAAGAACGAAGGTCTTACGGGTTTGGAACGACATGAGGGTGAGTAAGTAATGACAGAATTTAAATTTTTGTGTGAACTAACCCTTTAAAGACCAGAAATGGATGGGTCAGATAAAGGAGACAGTGTTCAGGATGTGTACTGTTGGGTGCCTCCAGGGACAGCGTTGGGAAACACAGCTTTAGACCTGCCTTCCTGAAGATTTCACTTCCAGTCCTGCTTCAACACACCTGCTTGCAATTATCAAGTGTTCCTGAAGAACTTAATAAACTGGTTCAGGTGCATATGATTAGGGTTGTAACTTTGCAGGAAGATGAATCTCCAGGAGAAACCCCTTCCTATACTAATCTCATACCAAGGGCCCGTCCCAAATGGTGCACTTGATGTGGTCTTCACTCATGTATGTCCATGAAGTCTAAGGCAACATCAAGTGCATTATTTGGGAGAGGCCAATAGTATAAGATTAGTACATAGTATAGTATTCTTTGGTATGTAGCATTTGTTAACAAAACATGCATGTCACAAAGCTCTCCACCAGAAATAGGGCTATAATATTCTGTCCTGCATTTGTTTGTTGTTGCTACTATATGACTCCCCCTCATGCTATTAAGTACAGACTTAAACAATCACCAGTAACACTGTTGTTATAGAAAGCAAGTAATCAGTCTTTATTCAAACCACAAGATAGTACAAACGGTGATAAACAGAAGACAAACAGAAGAGGCCAGGGACTGACGGGTTATTTTGCTGGACAGTGGGGTTTGGAGAAGGACAGGTCAGGATTGAATGGAGAGATCCTCTGTATGAGTTCATGAGGATGATGAAGAGTCATGTATATTCTAAACACGCAATACTGGACCTGAAGCAGCCCTCAAATGTTGCCAGGCAACAGGTAGATGTTGTCTTTATGGGATGCACGTAGACTCGTATGCACATGTTCATGCATGACTCTGAATATAGTTTTCCTGTAGTTCTCTTTGTTTTGGTTGTTCATGAAGCTCTTCATTTGTGATGCAGCAGTCATGGATGCAGGTGAAATAATCCTGCAGGCTTTATGTACCATAATCCATTTCGCTCTGCTACTGCAACCAGGCCTCGACTAACAATAATCATGATCTAATACCGCAGTTTAACCTTGAGCCTAATCCCTAACCCCTGCAGCTTTCAAAGCATCCTCAACCACGGCTCAAGAAGAATCACAATTTCCAAAGAAACTTTCAAATCGTCTGCATTGCATGTTGCTTCATTAATCCCAAAACTATTATTGCAAACCTACTGATGAATTGTGCTACCTGCAAACAATCCAGGAAGCATCTTTTCTGTTAATCTAAAATGAGACTGTTTCCAGAAATAAAATAGCAGCTGGGTCATTCCGTGTCAACTCAACCAGAGGTCCCCAGCCCAAATTGTTGATTTTACTAATATTTTTGTCCAATAAGATTGTTTTGATAGAGGGAAACAAGATGCATTTCTATTTTCAACATTATTTATTCTTCAGACATTCTGCTTTAAATACAATTAGCATCAGCTGTATACAAAGTGACCAACATTTGGTTTTCAACTACTGAAAATGGGTAATATTCAACCATTTGAAAATGGAGCCTCGTTGAGGTCCCCATATCTCTGGGACTGAGTGATGTAGGCCCTTGAAAATGAAGATTCTGAAAGAAAAGTTTATTAAGAACAAGAATCTAAAATCACATTCCGATATCTTTAATACTTCTTGAGTTATAGGCACACAAACTTTGGAAAAAAATAATATTTATGGCACTCAGACAGGTATGTTCAATGCAGTTGTTTTGACAGAAGAAAACAAGATATATCTCTAGTTTCAACTTTATCTGTTCTTCAGACATTCCTCTTTAAAAGGAAAGAAGTATCATATTTTTTTGCAAAGTGAAAGATTGTAATTTGGCTCTGAATCTCAGGTGAAAATTGCCATTTTGACCCCCCTCTACAAAATAGTGTTTTACCCAGTAAATATTCATCCACGACATTTAATATTTTTAATCTTTCTTCAGAAAAAAAAAATATTAGCAAAATAATAAATTTGAGCTGGGGTAGTTTTTGAAATTTGGTCGATTTGACACAGAACCACCCAGGTATGAGAACAAGTTTTTGCTTGCGCAGTGATTAGGGCGTATCTAATCAGATATATTTGAAGAGTCTTGTCGTTTGCACATTCAACTCAAAACATCCACAGATTCAGCAAACTGCTTTCGGGATCAATGCTGCAGTTATTGCATTCACATCCATGCAGATACTGCTGGTTCATCACATGGCCTCAACAGCAATTCACATACTCCCACAGGACTGTAATGTTTGGTCAACTATTTAAAATCTTGAAACCTGCAACCTTTGCGTTAGCAGCTCAAGATCTTAAAGGAGAGTGGTATTATGCATGTCCCTGCTATATACGTGCAAGGAACTGTTTTCAAAACTATTGCCCAATTCTATTTTATACCCCTTCACCTACCCCTTGTCCCTTGAAACAGAGTGTCAAGGGGTAGGGGTGAAAATATTCCCCTAAGAAATGGGAC